TAGTAGAACTCTCCTATGTACAACAAGTTCATATTTAGTACTTGTAGTAGAACTCTCCTATGTACCAAAAGTTCAGATTTAGTACTTGTAGTAGAACTCTCCTAAGTACAAAAAGTTCAGATTTAGTGGCACGTGCCACACAAACACGTCATATAAGTGCTGAAGATTAGAAGTGTTATAGGATAGTAACATACTATATAGAAAAGGAGGAACGGTAAAGAATGAGAGACCGACACAGAATGAGGAAAGATGAGAACGATGTCTGATCTTTGATAGCAAACAAGGCGCAAACCACACGAAGACACCCGGCGTGTTGATTTTCAGCTTTTTACAAGAATGTACGCACAGACACACAAAATGTTACATGGCCATGGTAGAGAAGTTCACACCGTTCATGGTATCGTCCCACAAATGCACGGCCACAGTTGTCAGTGAGTCAAAAGACAGAGTCCATCCCCCAAAAAGACATTTCAATAACTTTGTCTCTCTCACCTTTGAAGATGTAAGAATGTTGATGGCCCCTACCTTTGCAGAACTTCTATCCCCCACCTTAGAAGAAATTTTAAAAACCTCTGTCCCCTCACCTGTAAAGAAATTTCTTGAACTTATGTCCCCTCACTTTTGAAGAAGTTTTAAAAACCTCTGTCTCCTGATCAATAAAGAAGTTTTAAAAACCTCTGCCTTCTGATCAAAAAAGAAATTTGTTTAACCTCTGCCCCCTCACCTTTGAAGAAATCTTAAAAGCCTCTGTCCCCTGATCAATAAAGAAGTTTTAAAAACCTCTGTCTCCTCACCGTTGAAGAAGTTTTAAAAACCTCTGTCTCCTCATTATTGAAGAAGTTTAGTTTTAAAAACCTCTATCCCCTCACCTTTAAAGAAGTTTTAAAAACCTCTATCCCCTGATCTATAAAGAAATAAGTTTAACCTCTGTCCCCCCACCTTTGAAGAAGTTTTAAAAACCTCTATCCCCTCATCTTTGAAGAAGTTTTAAAAACCTCTGTCCCCTGATCAATAAAGAAGTTTTAAAAACCTCTGTCCCCTCACCTTTGAAGAAGTAAGCATCGTCCATAACATCGGCACCATTGAAGAGCCACACGTGCACGTATCCGTCAAGGCCATCAGGCACCCCGTCCCACTCACGCGCGATGTACAGCGGGTCTCCGTAGCGCGTGCGGTTGGCGTGGTTCTCGTACATCCAGTAGTGGTTGTTTCGGAAGAAGTAGGTGTTGTAGATGAACTGGTTGTCCGGTCTACGCCGCACCCAGTCGAACGCCGTGTTGAACGAGCCTTTGCACACCCCTGTTTGTTAGAGGAAAGGGAAGTACATTGACACATTAATGGTCGTTGACGTGTTGAGCGAGCCTTTGCACACCCCTGTTTGTTAGAGGATAGAGAAATACATTAAACCTTTGCACACCCCTGTTTGTTGGAGGATAGAGAA